ACTGGTGACAGCTGAATGTAGATGTTGTATATTTCTCTCAAACAAAAAACAACTTATTGATCATCAACAATATAAATCTCATAAATTCTACATTGTTCATATTCTTGAAAATGAAATTGAAAAAATATATATTGAATTTGATTTAAGACAACAAAGTTCACAACTTTCTCCAATATACATGTATTTCAAAATGAAATCTTGATATTGTGGTTTTTAAATTTTTTGAGAAAATTTTTAGAGATTTTCTAAAAATGTATTTCTAAATAGAACTTTGATCCCTCATTGTGACCCTTCCTAATTTGTGGTCATTATCTGAACAAACTTGAATCTACACTTCCAAAAGCAGTTTTCTTATAAATATCACTACAATCATTGCTTCATTGTTTTTTCAATAAACATTTTAAAGTAATTTTAAATTTACATATATTCCTATCTCAAAAATGATTGCTTATCGTGGCCAAGCCCTTCTCAGGAACATGATATGAACAAACTCTGATACTATGATAAAAAGCTTTCATATAACTTTCATCTTTTTTGGTCTTTAATGCTCTTTAAAAGATTTTTAATTGACTCAACTCCAATTTTCAGTATTTCTTAATTATCTCCCCTTGGAAGAGGGTCAATGGCCCTTCATTATATTAAACTTGGATTGAACTTCTCACTCAAAGATACTCTGTGCCAAGTTTGGTTAAAAATGGCCCAGTGGTTCTGGAGAAGATGAAAAACAACACCAACAGTGACAGACAATGGACAAATTTTAAACAGAAAAGCTCACTTGAGCCTTCTGCTCAGGTAATATTTAATTTTTTATTTGTCTTACAGATTTAAGATCAGATGTGAAAGTAGCACCTGTAAGCTTACATGCATTTCCTTCCATTTTTAATCAAAACCTAAACCTCTTGATTAGGTTAAAGGTACTTGGACACAGATTTGAAGTTATTATTTTCTCTATAATATTACGACTTATATATTTTAATAGCATTTCACACAAAAACAAGAGGCCCATGGGCCTTATAGGTCACCTGAGTATTATGCAACAACTTTCCAGTGATTGAATTTGATTCATGTTTTTAAGCCAGATGCTATGGCATTCACAATTTTGAAAGAGGCACCATTGATCATCATATCAATACACTTAGCAGTTGCTTAGTTTGTTTACTTAATACCCATATGCAGGGTAAGGGAACAAAAAATGCATTTCAACTAATCAGTAATATTCAGCAATAATCAATAGTGCCCCTACCACACATGAATCCCTGACCCTTAGGCCTTGATATTTGATTAATACCAAGGAGCAGATTTCAAACCATTCATTCATTTTCAGTATATAAGTACAACCCCCCCCTTCTATGGTACCCTGACCCTGGGGCCTTGAAATTCACAATTCTGGAAGATATGGGCCCTTGTCCAGCATAACTATATAGGTAGTTCATCTGCTTAATACCCTGGAGATACCCTGGAGCAGAGAAGAAAATTTTCAAAGATTTAATGTATTTTCACTATATAATCAATAGAGCCCCGCCCTAACACCAGAACCCCTGACCCTGGGGCCATAAAATTCACAATTTTGGTAGAGGCACTCTTGCTCATCATAACTATGCACTTAGTTAGTTTATTTAATACCCAGAAGCAGAAAAGATTTTCAAAGAATTCATGTATTTTCACTATATAATCAATAGAGCCCCGCCCTAACACCAGAACCCCTGACCCTGGGGCCAAACAAATTCACAATTTTGGTAGAGGCACTCTTGCTCATCATAACTATGCACTTAGTTAGTTTATTTAATACCCAGAAGCAGAGAAGAAGATTTTCAGAGAATTCATGTATTTTCACTATATAATCTATAGAGCCCCGCCCTAACACTAGAACCCCTGACCCTGGGGCCATAAAATTCACAATTTTGGTAGTGGCACTCTTGCTCATCATAACTATGTACTTAGTTGGTTTATTTAATACCCAGGAGCAGAGAAGAAGATTTTCAAAGAATTCAAGTATTTTCACTAAATAATCAATAGAGCCCCACCCTAACACCAGAACCCCTGACCCTGGGGCCATAAAATTCACAATTTTGGTAGAGGCACTCTTGCTCATCATAACTATGCACTTAGTTAGTTTATTTGATACCCAGAAGCAGAGAAGAAGATTTTCAAAGAATTCATGTATTTTCACTATATAATCAACAGAGCCCCGCCCTAACACCAGAACCCCTGACCCTGGGGCCATAAAATTCACAATTTTGGTAGTGGCACTCTTGCTCATCATAACTATATGCTTAGTTGGTTTATTCAATACCCAGGAGCAGAGAAGAAGATTTTCAAAGAAATAATGCATTTTCACTACCTACTTATTTAGCCCCGCCCTAGCACTAGAACCCCTGACCCCAGGGCCATGAATTTCACAATTTTGGTAGAGGACTCATTGCTGATTACAATGATGCAAACAGTTTGACTGCTTGATGTCCAGGAGTTAAGATTTTTAAAGATTGCATTAATTTTAGTGGTTTTGGCCCCACCCCTCAGGCCCCAGGGGGGCAGGGATATATATTTCAGCCATAGATAGCAAATTTGGTTGAAATGGTTCACACAAAATGTTCAAATGTTAAAAATCTTATTTCGAAAACGGATAGCAATAGGTCACCTGAAAGATATTAAAATTTCATTTAAAAGATATTAAAATTTCAAATTTTTTGGCGGGTTTGATTGACACATCCTTGCACTTTTACAAATTAATTCTTTTCTTAATCCTTAGGAAACGTGGCAATCTCGTTGTGTATAAATAAAAATATTAATACTATAATCCAGAAAATTCAGAGTAGACATGTTCGAAAGCAAAACAAACACACAATATATTGTCAGTCCGTGCAGTTGTGGTAAGCAGACTTTGACGATTTAGAACGCACCCGGTGAATTGTAAACATAAACAAAAACAGAGCTCGAGCCCTGTTTACAAAAATTGTGTACATAACACGAGTGTGCTCGATTTGCTAAACCCTGTACGCAACTCTTAATTCGGAATGACGATACTTGTGAAGGAGTTTTGCTTTCTAACATCTCTACTCTGAATAAAATTATTTTTCTGAATAAAAGTTTTAATATTTCTCATTAATACACAAGATTGCCACTTTTCCTAAGGATTAAGAATAAAGTTAAAATTTGTGAAAGTGCAAGCATGTGTCAATCAAACCCGCCGAAAAATTTGAAGTTTTAATAACTTTTAAATGAAATAAGATTTTTAATTAATTTTTATATGAAATGCTATTAAAATATATGTCGTAATATTATAGAGAAAATATTGATTTCAAATCTGTGTCCAAGTACCTTTAAGAAATGTTTTTGAACTAATTCATACAACAGAATAAGGTGACCTGAAACACATATACTTACCATTTGTTTGGTGTTCCTGGATTGACAAGATTCCGTTACAGGTAGACCTTCTGTCTGACACCGAGCCTGTTTTCCGAGATCTTACGTGCCAATGGTGTGTGCTCAATCTACACTCAGATACAAATAAATCACATTGAATAAATAGTCTCATCACATAATCATGTCATAATAACTATCAAAATAAACTCTCCGGTCTTAAAGCAGATTGTAAATAGACAAAATAAATATACACACTGGTGGCTCATTTATACAAGTGTGTGACAATATGAAGGCTGGTAGTTAAATATTCAAAAGAATTTATTCTAAATTAGTCAAACAAATAAAAAAAATCATGAAGAAGCACTTCAGAGCCTTGAATAATTTCTCTTCTATTTGTTTTGTGGGATTGCATAAGATTCTCATATTACCTTCGAATTTCGACCAAAGTACAAATCAAGAATTACCTGAAATTAAACACAAAATATATTAGCCTATGTAATAAACAAACTCCATGGTACAACTCAGTGAATATAGTCTTTACTAATACTCACCACAAATCAAACACATTAACTGAAATCTGTAAACAGAGTCTGTATGTGAAATCACTCATTTTTTATGGGGGGTTGATTTTCACTCTTTTAGATGAATTCATGTCCAACACAAAATGTCTGTCATAATGATAAACATGCATATTCAACAATTCTTCACCCATGAAATCCAATTCCCTTGAACCCTATAGTTTTCCTTCAACCCCAAAAGTATGACCCAAAGAAAATATGTGATTTTACAGTACTGGTAAATGAAAAAAAACCTTGTCATTGCAAATCAAGCCAATATTTGTGGGTAAATTTCTATGCATGTGGAAATTCCATGTTTTAAAGTGACAAATTGCAGTAAATTTCAGTGTAAAAACCATGCAAAGACAATCACCATTCATCCAGAGTGTCTGCTAGAAGTCAAGAACCGTCCAAGTTGTTGGTGATTGGCACAAATAAGGCTGGATGCATCTTATGATTTAACCAAGTCACATAACCATTTTAAATTTGGAAACTCTAAGATCAAGATATTGCTACCCAGCGGAAGGCTTTGTCACAATACACCTATGAAATACAGAAGCCCTAGCACCATCCATCCAAAAGTCATGGCCAAGACTGAAGATCTTCAAAAGTATTCAGACTACAAATACAAGGCCAAGGACAAAATTAATTTCCTTAAACTTAGGAGCTGCAGCCATGACATAAAGGAAGACAACACAGTGTTAAGTTTGGGCAGACATAACCATGATTTATTTGTAGGTCAAACTTCAAGGTCAAAGAGTCAAATTGATGGTATCCAAAGGAAAGGCCTGTCACATTGAATAAAAAGTATAAAAGGAAAGAAATGTACTCACTCCAACCTTTCAGAAGCTACTACCAAGGTTAAAGTTTTTTCAGAGCAAGTCAATTTCCAAGGTCAAAGTAAAAAATGTTTGTACTTAAGGTCATATCATAAGGAATACACCTGTTAAGTATGAAAGCACTAGCAATAACTATTCAAAGTTACGACAAAAGAAGAGGTAAAATATCTTAGTACCAAAATAAAGGTCTTGTCACAAGGAATACATAGGTGGTAGGACAGAACAATTAAAAAAGGACAGAAAATTTTGAAAATTTTATTTAAGACACAATCAGATTTAATCCTAAACAAAGACAATTATATAAGTATATCTGTTTATAGTTGTAACTATTAGTGATATATAAAAGAAATATATAAATATACAAAATATATAAATATAAAGGCCTGCAGAAATAGGGAAAATATATTTTGTACATTTAAAAAGCTTCTTTCACTTAAGTAGATGTATCAAATTCTTTCCCCTTAAAAATACTCATGTTAAAAAAAAATATATTTATATTGGCTTGAGAATATAAATTGGATTTCATGTCATGGCACTTTTCGAACTATAAATTCTAAATATAATATCTTTCAAAATCTCATAAAGGTTTTGAATGGATTTTCAAATACAGTTGAACACATACAATAAATTCACACCGTGAATGAATGAATTGACATATAGTTAACTGAAAAATACATTAATATAAACCAATTAATACATGTAGTTAAAGAAAAAACTGGAATGTTTGATGTATACAAAGTACACAAATTTTTAATTTGACTGTATAGAAAGCTTTTAATAGATTTTACTTCCTGTAAAGAAGGGAAATCTAGAAAGTTGACATTTAAGCATGCATAAAAAAAAGACCTCAATATAACAATAAAGGCTGTAAAATCTAGTCAAATATTCCATAGCATGATGGATAACTGCATGGGAGTAAAAATTAAATTACCAAAAAATTAAAATTCATTTCATAAATTTCCAAAATAAAAATAACATTAATTTACTTCTTGAAAATGTAATAAAACATAGATAAAGTCAATAAATATGAGGTCCACATTTCTTGCATCCTGAAAAAATTACAGGATAATATTACGCAAATTAATCTTTACAATACATAAAATCTAAATACATTCAAGCAAATAAAAAATCTTAACATATAAATAAAAAAAATCTAGATAATCTAACAACTAATCAATTTCTTTGATATCAAGTTCAGGTTGATGAAGTTCCACTCTCAGTTATGTCTCCCCAACAAGATGGCTGCCACTGCCACGGCGATCACCAAAAAGAGGCTGAGTGGTGTCACATGACCAGCATGTGCACAGATCTGATCTTTACAGAAGTTCACTCTGTTGGAGGTAGAGGGGTTGTAGGATACTACAGCAGACACCTCTGTATATCACAAAACATAAAAAAAAACCTTCATAAATATAAAATCAAAAAATAAAAATATTGTCTAATACTCATGAAATATCTTGAATATTTTCTCTGAAACTGAGCTAAATGCAAAGTGTGACTAAAGGAAACATGGAGGGACAGACGGGAGGGGGACAGAAGATGGCATGACAAACTCTATATGACATGGTCACATTCATGGAGGGGCATAAAGATACAAGTCCCCATAACCCAAGGATACTCTGTGAAAAGTTTGATCCCATGGGTCCTGTGGATGTGATGATGAAAATGAAATTGTAATTTTAACAAGTATTTGTTCAAAAGTTTATGACTGACAAAAGACGATAGACAAAATGAATAACCGCAGACATAGGTGACCTACAAACATGTCTACTGACCTGGCTCATAGTACAACATGGCTTTGACTGGGACTTCTTTAGCATCCTTTACTTCTGACACTTGGACAGCTCGGAATCTCATACACTGGCTTTCCTTGGTGACCTATAACATAAACACGGTTATTAAAGTTATTACAGTATGTGTATTATTTCTATTGTCAAATCTCTAAATCTTTCAATAAGCAATTAATAGCAGTATGTCTTCTGACCTTTTGAACTCAAATTTCTAAGTCAAGCAAACAATCTTGATCATTTAGAAAAAAGATATTTCAAAATCCAAGGGCCGGAACTCAAGTAAACAGAGGAGTGCAGATGACCTTTTCATCTCATATGTGCTTATAAAATGAAATTACACAAAACAGTAATGAACTTAAGAAAACAAAGTTTATCTTCTTGAGTTTAAATTGAGTAGTTGTATGTGGGTAATATTCTGACCTCGTTTAAGTACATATGGACCACAGATCCATCGACCTCGACCTTTGACAGCGCTGAATTCCGTTCCAATTTCTCCACATCAGCTGACATCCCAGATCCCATAGTAACCGAAACCAAAGCCATGTTACTGGGACCTGAACCCAGATATCTTAAAAATAGACAAAGGAGTCTCAATAAATCAGATCTTAACTGTAGTTGAATTTATAGAGTTGGGTATTGCGAGTGAAAACCATATTGCGATATATTGCATTATTTTACGTTAAATATTGCAATATATTGCGATATATTGTAGATTAATTATCATTAATAAATTTGTACAGAAAGTTTAAAATGCTGTCAAGTTCAAAGACTATTTAAATTTATCTATAAATTTTAAAGGAGGCGAGGGATAAGACATTAATCGCTCACATAATTATAATAACTTTTAATCAAAAACCAGGTAAAAAATTTAAACAAAATGTACTCATTTGATGTATTTTCAAATTGAAAAAAAAAGTTTATGCATAGTTTATTCTTTATAGTTTTTTTTTTTTTTGGGGGGGGGGTGTTTTATTGAAATAGCATAAAATGTAATTTAATGATTAAAACAATACATATTATATAGAAATTTTATGTGGTCACAGAATAAAATTAAAGCCAGAAAGAAATTGTGAAATAGTGTACCCGACCTAATTTCACATTATGACACACGATCAGGAACTGCACTGGCCTATTTCTTTTGTTTTAATATACATGCTCCTGGTATAGCATGAAGGTGTTTAAAATGGCAAGAAACTTGTTAAAAAATAATAATAAGCAACACTGTATCAAGTGAAAACATGGATGGCCATTATGTGTAAAATGTATCTTGAACTTAATTAACATTCATCGTCGATCGTGTAGATTCCATGAGATTTTGAGAACCGCATTACACATGGTATACACCCTGTAGAAATGTTTTATATATTTTCTTTCTTAATAATTTTATTTGAGAGTCTTTTTATTAATTATTAATTTTATTTTAAAGTAATATACATGTATTTAAAATTGCGACAGTGAAGGAAAAGCTTCCTTTCTCTCTCTCTTCTCTCTATCTGCCTCTGAAAGCCGACGAAGTATTTTTATTACTAGATTGAAAAGGCCTGGGGAAGTTACAAGTATTATTTCAGCAGTTTCTACAATAAAGGAGGTTTTTATATATTTTTATAAATATCGTGAAATACCGGTATCTGATTTTTATATCGCGATATATTATCGTGGTGGATAATACCGCAATATACCGATATACCGGTAATATTGCACAGCCCTATGAATTTATATTGTAGAGGACTTTCACAGATATTTATATTTTTAGAAATCATGGCAACAGCTCGTCATATTAAATGAAATTCTGATAAAAAGAATTATGTATCTTAGGATAGTCTATTTGTGGATGAAGTCTTACTAAAAATGAATTAAAATCATACATTTCTTTTATGTAAGACATAAGTTTATGTGATATAAATCGTCGTTTATCGTACACTTCTTACAGAACACAAGGGTTGATGTTGTAGATGTTGTTTCTTAGCTAACATAATGGTTGCTGTCATAGATATTGTCATTTATTGTATACTTACCTAACACATGGATTGATGTCGTAGATGTTGTCGTTGATCGTATACTTTCCTACAGTGACCTGCAGGTCGTTATCAAACAAATCATTCACAAGATTGTACTGCCAGACAACCTGTGGAATATAATATACAGATTTCAGATAACAAGAACAACATAAACAAGAGGCCCATGGGCCACATCGCTCACCTGAAAAGCTTTGACCATTCTGTTCTTTACCAGATTTCCCCCTTGTTATACATAATGCATCCCCACCCTACCCCACTGATCATAATTATGAACATTTTGAAATCTACACTACCCCATGATCCTTCCATGGGCACATATGTTTCAGCTTTTTTGGCCCAGTGGTTCCTGAGAAGAAGATTTTCAAAGATTTTTCCTACATATTTCTATGTAAAACTTTGATTCCCTATAATGGCCCTGCCCTTCCCCGGGGGTCATGATTCCTACAATTTAGAATTTACACTACACCAAAATGCTTCCACATAAGCTTCACTTTTTCCGGCCCAGTGGTTCTTGAGAAGAAGATTTTCAAAGATTTTTCCTATATATTTCTATATAAAACTTTGATTCCCCATTGTGGCCCCGCCCTTTCCCGGGGGTCATGATTTGAACAATTTAGAATCTACATTATACCAGAATGCTTCCACATAAGTTTCAGCTTTTCTGGCCCAGTGGTTATTGAGAAGAAGATTTTCAAAGATTTTTCCTATATATTTTATATGTAAAACTTTGATACCCCATTGTGGCCCCGCCCTTCCCCCGGGGGGTCATGATTTGAACAATTTAAAATCTACACTACACCAGGATGCTTCCACATAAGTTTCAGCTTTTCTGGCCCAGTGGTTCTTGAGAAGAAGATTTTCAAAGATTTTTCCTATATATTTCTATGTAAAACTTTGATTCCCCTTTGTGGCCCCGCCCTTCTCCCGGGGGTCATGATGTGAACAATTTAGAATCTACACTATACCAGGATGCTTTCACATAATTTCAGCTTTTCTGGCCCAGTGGTTATTGAGAAGAAGATTTTCAAAGATTTTTCCTATATGTATTTATATATTCCCCACTGTGGCCCTCCTTCCCCCGGGGGTCATGATTTGAATATTTTAGAATCTACACTATACCAGGATGCTTTCACATAAGTTTCAGCTTTTCTGGCCCAGTGGTTCTTGAGGAGAAGATTTTCAAAGATTTTTCCTATATATTTCTATATAAAACTTTGATTCCCCGTTGTGGCCCCGCCCTTTCCCCGGGGGTCATGATTTGAACAATTTAGAATCTACACTACCCCAGGATGCTTCCACATAAGTTTCAGCTTCACTGGCCCAGTGGTTCTTGAGGAGAAGATTTTCAAAGATTTTTCCTATATATTTCTATATAAAATTTGATTCCCCGTTGTGGCCCCGCCCTTCTCCCGGGAGTCATGATTTGAATAATTTAGAATCTACACTACCCCAGGATGCTTCCACATAAGTTTCAGCTTTACTGGCCCAGTGGTTCTTGAGAAGAAGATTTTTTAATGACCCAACCCTATTTTTGTCTTTTCTTGATTATCTCCCCTTGCGAGGGGATATGTCCCTTCATTTTAACAATTTAAATTCCCCTTCACCCAAGGATACTTTGTACCAAGTTTGGTCAAAATTGGCCGAGTGGTTCTTGAGAAGAAGTCGAAAATGTGAAAAGTTTACACACAGACAGACGGACAGCTAGACGGACGGACGGACGGACGACAGACAAAATGTGATCAGAAAAGCTCACTTGAGCCTTCAGCTCAGGTGAGCTAAAAATACAAGTACTACTGGGTTGCTTAACAAATATTTTTTTTTCGAATTTTTTTTTTTTTGTATGTTCTATGGGCATCTATAACCTGGCTGCAATATGCCCAACTGTTGATGTTACAAACTTAAAGTCTACAATTCATATTATATGTTTACAGAATGGTAGATATTATAAAATTACAGATATATTTCTGAGCTAGCAAGAGAAAACTACTTTTCAGTACAAAATAATAAAGAAAAGATTTTTAAAAAAATTAGTGTACAGTAAGAACAGCTTCTCCAGCTTGACTGGGACGGATTTCCAGACTGGTCGTATCAATAGGAAACTGTAAAAGAAAATTATACACCTAATTAATAAGGGTCTTTGTGCTTTGTATACTGTTAACTATCATATAGTATTCATAAAAAGATATTTATATTTGGGGAAAGAATTCACAATTTTGAAGTATTTGCTTGTTTAGAATTTCAAAAAGTATACAAATACCTGAAAGAAAAGAATTGCCTTTTCTTGTCTATCAGAATGAATATTAGAATTTAGCTGTGATCTCTCACATCTATTAATTGACCTCACACCTGAGGCGACACACAGTCTCTATGGTTACTGAAGAAGTCATCCCAGTAACTTCTGAGACCCTCATCATCCCCACATCATACCCCCCCCACACACATCTTACCTCGGCCCTCTGCAGCAGTAGTCGTGTTTCCGCGGTGATCTGTATTGTCTCAGTCTTCAGTACAGTGGAGTTCTGTTTAGCTGTTATAACTACATCAATCTGAACATTCCTGTTGTTTGATCGACTCCTGGCAAAATCTGAAAGGGCCTTCAATCCCACTACTGTATCCTGTAAATATTGTTATAGTATATTAATCAAAAGTCAATGATTTAGTAAATATAGGATGTGAAATGTCCATACAGTCCCTGAAACGTTCTACTTTCCCATTTTTCCGTTCGCTCACCGTTCGTTCAGCGTGCGTTCACCGTTCGCTCTTCGTTCACAGTATTGCGTTCACCGTTCACCGTGCGCTCGCGTTCACAAAACGTTCACCGTTCGCTCTTCGTTCCGTTTACTTTGCGTTTACCTTGCGTTCACCGTTCACTTATCGTTCAGTCTTCATTGTCATTCGGAACTCCGAAGTGAAAGGACTTATCTTTTTGATGGTAAGGATTTACATGTTTTTCAATTAAATAACTTAGATATCGTGTTTGAAGAATAATTATTTCATTGCAAAAATTATCTATGATATTTATATTTCTATTATCATAACTCAGCTGTTACTTATTTCATGAAATTTTCCTGGAAAATAATACATTAAGTACCTACATGTATGTAGAACGATGCTAAAATATTAACTTAAAAAAAGGGCAATGTACAAATGCTTCACGCACGGCATCAATTTGTTGTAATTTTAAAGACTGAAGACAAATTATTAATGGATGTATAATAATTAATCCAAGTCTTTTACAGGACAATAATACAAAAAAAAAAATTATTTCTACAGTAACACGTATTTTAACTACATGTAGGTTTGAGAATTATGAACAGTACTGCAAATATTCAGTTAATTAAATATCTTTAGAGCTAATTAAATTGATGGTGTGGTTTTAAATTTTAGAAAAGACTAAAATGTTTAAAATAGTCTATTATTAGAGAAGGAAAATTCCTTCCTTCACAGTACTTAAACATATGTTTAAATATATGTTTGCCATTCAGTATAATTAAGACCCCACCCCCCACCCCCCACCCCACCCCCGGTGTCTTTTCTCCCGAAATAAAATTCTTATTGAGTTTTTTTCAGTATATTTTAATCAATATTTAATTTGTATTGTAACACAAGAAAATCAGTCTTAAAACCAACATCAAACAGTCATTAAACAATAGTATTTTAGAATAAACGTGTGCCGACAGTAGTATTTTAAACTGGCAGAGAATATGTTTCAAATTCAATTTAAAACTTAATCCAATTATTTTTTTTCTGCAGGAATGCCAAAATCAAATATAGAAATGATAGGGAAAAATATTAAAACTTCTTGGAATACTAAGTGACTCTTTGCCTTTGGCATGTTCGGTGAAACGCAATTTCCACACCTCCACTGTGTCGAATTATTTTGATTGACAGGACAGGCACGCTACTTGCACGGACTTCCTGTGAACTGTATGAACTTGATGATGGAAAATAAAAGCTAATGATTACGGTCAAATGGATTTGTTAATCTCAAAAAAAGATTAGCGTTACTGCTTGGAATATTTAGGAAAAATAATAAGAATTTTTATTTGATACTACAGATATCTGAGAATCGAGGGGGTTATCTCTCTCTCTCTTTCTCTCTCTCTCTCGTACATTTCTCTGTTCAATAAAAACTATGACAGCAAATTACTTATTTAGTTTTGAAAATTTAATCTATTACAAATAATTTGAATGCCTCTTTCCAACATCTTGACCGAGTATAATCACGGCCGGGAGATGTCTACAGATACATGAAGAAGTTAGCTAAAATAATCGTCATAAAAGAATACAAATGGCACATAAATATAGAATATTTTGCATTAGAATTTAAATAAAACGAGAGTTTTATGCAGTATGATAACAGTCAATGTCAACAAATAATTGTGAATTTAAAAAAAAATCCGTTATTTTACTCAGAATCGCTTTGGCACGGAAATACATACGTACATGTATGGTTGTTTCAACAGCGTACAATGAAATTAATTCATTCTATAAGTAGTAGTTTTATCATCAGAAGTCCACATTATTTTATTGGTGAAAAGAATAAGCATATTTACTATATAAATAGATTAATTATATATTTTATCTACTCGCGTTCGGAAACAAATACACGTTTTACGGCAATAAAATCGTGTTACAAAAATGTCGATTAAAACATAGGTACATATATGTAAAGAACAAAAATGTTTTTAATATTTATTTATTTATTTATTTACTGTTTATTTATATTTAAGCACCTGAAATTAGAATTATAGAATATTAGAATAATCTCAATGCAAGGAAAAGATCGGAGGCATTCTGAATAAATCGTTCATCTTGCGTTCACCGTTCACTTTGCGCTCGCGTTCGCGCTCCGTTCGCGTTCTGCGTTCACTCACCGTTTACCGTTCACACGTCGTTCACCAAGTTGCGTTCAGCGTTCGCACATCGGTCACCCACAGTTTGCTCACCGATCGTTCACCGTTCATTCAGCGTTCGTTCACCGTTCAGGTGGGAAAGTAGAACGTTTCAGGGACTGTAATTGTTAAATGGGGGAATCCTGAGATAAATGCATTTCTCCAGATAAAGAGTCAGATGGATCAAAACTTCTTATTACCTATTTGGTAAATCTGGCTCAAGACATATATTGATTTTTAAATGATGGCAAAATTAGCACCTGCATACATACTGACTGATTCAGAAAAATTACAGACTTTTTAAAAATATATTGTTGTCTTTGTTGCCATCTGAATATTGAATTAGTTTCTTTCCTCCCCCACTCATTTCCACATGTAAATTAAAGTTAAACAGAGCATCTGATACGAGACCTGTGTGGAGTACCATCCCCCAAGGCTGTTCCGTTTGCTGTTGAGCCATCGTAAGAAAGGCAGAGCGTCGTCTGATCTGCCGATCTTCAGCAGGGTCTGTAGGAGGTACCCTGTCATCTCTATACTGGAGGGGGAGGGCTCTTTCTCCCTGATGTCCCTCAGTATGGGAACCGGTCCCCCCGGACCTCCGTCACTGTCCCCACCCCTACAATTCTTACCCAGGCACTTCATCTCCACCGCTCCTATAAATCAATGTAACTCATCATCATTCTATCTCAAAGGTTTTCATTATACCCTTTTCTGGAGAACAAGAAATATTCCCACAAACTTTAAAGCAAAATACTTAAGGGAAAAAACAGTTTTAACAACATAAAACAGTAGCCAATAACCTCAGCATCTTTAATTCTAATAGATTGACATTAAGGTGGCTCATTACATCCACAGTTTATTTTAGATTTCAATACAGCACCACTTACAATGTAGATGTCAAATATCCAGATGGGGGTATTGATATCATAAATATTTTTCATAGAATTTTTTAGTTTTTGTCTAATTTTAATGAAATGTTTCATTTCAAATTCATTATTAAAAGAATTTCAGAACTTTCAGTGTCAAATGATGGGCATCTTCTTAAGACAAGTATACACAGTGAAAATACCTAATAATAATTTTATTAGAAAAAATAATTTTCTCCTAAAAAAACTATTAATGTCATTATCTTTTTAATCTATGCATAAAACATTAAGAAAATGAGTTCTGAAGACATAAGGAATGTATTTCAATGAATTACATGTGTCAAATTGAATGAAGAATGTTTGAACGAAATGAAAAATGCAATTTAAAAAATATTTGGTATAAGAAGTCCACTTTCAAGAGTTATCTTTCCTAATTACCCAAGACTCAAAACACTAAGGAACGTTTGACATTACATCTAAAATTCAGAACAAAGCTTTAAATTGCCACTGTATACATTTAAATCAATAAAGCAAATATATAAATAAACACCAACACAGTAAATAGTGCAAGTAAATAACTTTAATTTCATAGATTTTAACTCGAATTTCCTCCATACAAACATTGATAGAGCTCACTGCATGCTGCATTGCATTGCTATGAAATTGACATTACTTGTTTGGCGAAGATTTGATTGTTGTTTTCTTTTGCTTCTGCTTAAAAGCAATTCTTCTTGGTTTATGCAAAATGAATCCTTTACTTTGTTTTCACTTTTATAACACCGCATGTTTTATCTATTTTTAAAGCGTTTTAAAGGTCAGGGTCATATTATAGAGGTACCTGTACAATTCGTCCCAAGAGGAAACCAGTCGACACAATGGAGGTTTATTTTTTTGTGTAGTACGTCATCAAAAAGTGGTGTAATGAGCCTCCTTAAACTTACCATCCAGGAAGGTTGTAGCATTGTCCATAAGTTGTTGTGCCATCTTGCTTACTTCTCTTGTTGATGACCCGTCTACTGCGAGGGCATATGTCAGTAGTGAGGTGTAGTAAGGATTGGTCACTGCCGAGGGGAGGTTACTCTTCAGAAAACTCTCTATAGCTGCCATCTTTTGGCTTGCAGCAGCATAGATCTGTAATTATTTTACCTGATTTACAGAAGTTCATATATTGCTTCTATCTGTGTATATACTTGTCATGAAAGAAAATGAAATGCATGAGAAATGAATGGATTTCATTTTGTTCTTACTTTGATTCCATTACAAAAGCAAAGTACTCCTCTCTCCACTTTACAAACAAAATACGAATAGATCCAATCTTTAACATACCAAAGAAATCTTTGTGTTTATAGAAATTGATATTGTATTATTTTTGAATGCTGTACTGATTGCTATATATTGTTGATACAGGAGTGACTTACAATATCACTGGTAGACCCAAACTCTGCCAGAACTTCAGTGTAGCAGGACAACACAAAAGCTGCTAACTTCTCCCTGGAATCCGCCCCACTGCCCTGTAAAATATAGTAAATTCACAGCATACACAGTGAACTATAAACTACAAAATATATCAGTTAACTTCTCCCTGGAATCCGCCCCACTGCCCTGTAAAATATAGTCAATTCACAGCATACACAGTGATATATAAACTACAAAATATATCAGTTAACTTCTCCCTGGAATCCGCCCCACTGCCCTGTAAAATATAGTCAATTCATAGCATACAAAGTGATATATAAACTACAAAATATATCAAGGTGTTTTTTTTTCCTGTCTTTTAGCTTTTGACAACAATCATGAATATATTTGCCAAGCCATGCCCTGTAAAATATAGGTTTTCAAATTTATCCAGACAATACACAGTGAATATATAAACTACAAAATATATCAGTTAACTTTGACCATTCTGTTCTTTACCAGATTTCCTGCCTTGTAAAATATATGAATCACAGCATACACAGTGATATATAAACTACAAAATATATCATAATTTAGACACTTTGAAATCTACATTACCCCAGGATCCTTCCATGTGCACAAATATAGCTTTTTCCCAGTGGTTATTGACACAGAAGATATATAAATTTTTTACAATATATATCAGTTAACTTCTCTGTGGAATCCCTTCACTGCCCGAAGGTAATGTAACAATATACTACCCCAGGATGCTTTCACATTAGTTTCAGCTTTTTGGCCCAGTGTAGTTCTTGAGAAGAAGATTTTCAAAGATTTTTCCTGTATATTTCTATGTAAAAATTTGATTCCCCATTGTGGCCCCACTTGCCCGGGGGTAAAATTTGAACAATTTCACACACTACACAGGATATATAAACTACAAATATATCAGCTTTTGTCTCTCTGGAAGAAGACTTTCAAAGATTTTTCCTATATATTTCTATGTAAAACATTCCCCATTGATATATAAACTTACAAAATATATTTTAACAATTTAGAATCTACACTATACCAGAATGCTTCCATATAAATTTCAGCTTTTCTGGCCTGGTGGTTCAGAAGAAGATATATAATGACCCCAAAATATATTTTGTCTTTTCTTGATTATCTCCCCTTGTGAGGGAATTTGGCCCTTTTTTTAAACAATTTAAATTCCCCTTCACCCAAGGATGCTTTGTACCAAGTTTGTCAAAATTGGCCCAGTGGTTCTTGAGAAGAAGTCGAAAATGTGAAAAGTTTACAGACAGACAGACAGCTAGACAGACGGACGGACGGACGACGGACAAAATGTGATCAGAAAAGCTCACTTGAGCCTTTTTAAAAAATGCTAATTTCCTAATTTCCCCCTTATTCTTCTGCTAATAATCATTATTATCCTTCAACTTTTCTTTTTGTTTGACATACTGTTTATAAATTCGATCTGACTTCCATGTGTACCTGCATCTCCGTGTGGATCACCCTGCCCGGTTCTTTGACCGCCCCCCGCTCCCCCACTTGGTTATTCAGCCAGGAGGTGGCTCTCTGCATCACTGTGGGGTCCACCAGATCTGGTAGTATTCTATGAATCTCAGCAAAAGACTTCAGCACAAATGCTGTTAACCTGCATAATAAGAAACAATGCGTGGTTATTTAACTGTCACAACTTATGATTTCCACAAAATCTTCCAAATCTTTTTAACACTGCTGAAAATGGACTTGTTCCATAATTACCGTATAAGCAGAATTCTATTGAGGATTTAATTTTGGCATTATTAGCTAGGGTGCTGAGATCGTTAAAATTGAATATTGCCAAAAATTGCATTTTAGTTATAAAAGCTTCTTTAGTGAGCATTTTAAAATTACTTCTTGCGTATATAAAAATAAAACAACAATTTTCAAGAACAATCCCTAATATTGCGTCTTGCTAAAATTTCCTTTTATATGGTAGTACCCCTTCTAAGTTGAAAAAAAAATCCTAGTGAAAAAAATTCTTTAATTTCAAATAACCCTTTACAAGTAAGACCAGATAGTCCATTACTTGTTTTAAGATGTGATCAATAACAACATACCAGGTGCTTCCTGAGGGGTCAGACATTCCGAAGGCACTAAAGGAACTGTCATGTCTCTTGTACCGTAACTCCTGCTGATAACCTGTAACAGAAGACAAACGGAACATTACACTCACTTCTCAGATACAAAAGGCCCATGAACCTTGATGGTCCCCTGACTATCTCATTTCTCAAAACCTGATCACTTTTAGCTAACCTGAAGTCAATGTAACTTAAGGGCTACACATTTCCCAATTTTGGTTGAGTGCTGAGCATTATGATTAGAGTAAAACAATTTATCTGTTAAATGCCCCTGAGTAGAGATTTTTTGAAGATGTAATGTATGTTCAGTAAATGAACATGTCACACCCTGGGACCTGGACCATGGATTCCACTGGCATAAATTGTTCCAGTTTAATTTAAAAGTTATTTAAGAAAATTGAAAGAAACTGGATCAGCCAATCCAAAGAAGGAGCTAAACATGTCCAAATGTTTATAACCTGTGGAGAACATGCAGACATAATCAGATAGCAGTAGGTCCGCTGTGTGACACAAACCTTGTTTGATGTTCTGTATCATTCGGGCCTCCAGATTAGTTTCCCCGGCCTGTGTCGCTCGGAGGTACTGTAGGACGTACAGGTTAGGGACAGTGGTGGCAATGTTCTGCTCCCCGCAGCCTGTGGGTACACTTATCATTCTCTCGGGGTTGTTCAGGGCCTGGCCCAGAAGGTCACCTGAAGGTCAGAGATATACTTCTATGTTATCCATAAATCATTTTGAACATTGAAAATTCACAAAAAAACTCATAATCACATGATAAACTTCCTAATTCATTGACTTCAAAACAAATGTTATAACAATTAAGGACACAAAGTGTCGGTTATAACGAATAGGGACCTGTGAATTTAATTCACTATATCCGTAATTCGTTATAACCGTATAACAAATTCGTAAAACCATATAAAGGCCATATACATATTAACAAATATATTAAGGAAGCAAATATAACAAAACATACCTTCGATAACTAAGGTTTTATTGTGAACTGAATTATATATATACAATTCCATGAACAAAAATAAGTCAGTTCAATTTATCAAATTGTGAGATCTTTGAAAGATCGTTATAAAGGATGTAAATTTCATTATATTTAACTTCAATGGGACCCAAAATCAGTTCACTATATCCATAAATTCGTTATAAGGATTTGTTAAGAATTTTGCCGGGGACCCAGAAAAACTTCGCTATATCCGTGAATTCGCTATATCCGTATTCGTACTAAACGAGTTTTACTGTACATGTCACTCACCCATGGCCAATACGTAGACAGACTTGGAGCCTTTCACTGCGTTGTCAGGGAATGAGATGCCTACAGGAGGAATGTCTGTTCCCCCTGGTGTCTCCAGGTTCAGTACTCTGGTCTTCTGAACTTGACGTCCCTCAGGCTAGAAAAGTTTTTTAGTTATTTTTAGGTAAAGAGTGTCTAAACGATACATGTAACAGTCACATGAATTTCATGCCTCAATTTTTTTTCTTAACAATGTCTCATGCAGACCCTTTTCCTATTCATATCTCTGCATTGTAGACCCACTTGGATAAAAGGGCAAAAATGTGATTGATTGTATCTACTACACAAGGATATTTGTTTCCTTGTAAATTCTGCACTCTCTAGAAACAAAATATACCAGCACAGTCAATCCTTATTATCCCAGCCTTGATAAGACTGACTGAGAAATGCTTTCAGTAAGTTATCAATTCTCTAAATTATCTCCCTTTGGAAAGAAGCTTGTATATTCATTTTGGGGAAAAATGAATTTCCTAGAATGCTTTGAGGCAAGTTAGGGTGAAATTGGCCCAGAGATTCTGTGTGAAAAGATAATGTATATGGGAGAATACAGAAACCAACACATAACAGCTGGCTGATATGACCATGAAATAGAATACCTCACTATAAAGAACCAATCCCAATCCCATTGATAAACCTTACCTCAGCACTGACCACTTTCTCCAGATTGTCTACGTAATTCTGACCCCCGGCCTGAGCTGTAGCCTTCCCGCTCAGTGTCAACAAGGGAGAGAACTTATCTGTGTCCAGCTTCCTTACCCACACAGCAAACATGCCGGACTGCCCACGCTTGACCTGTCCAGAATAAAATAGTACAGTATATAATGTTACAGTATGAACTGATTTTAACATTGAAATTGACATACACAGATACCTAGAAAACCAGAAGTCTCTGACATTTCTGTAGCTCTACTAGGGTGCAATCTAACAGAGGAATTAAAAACTTGTACCTGGACTTTACTTCTTGTCTTTCACTTACAGAAACTCAAAATCAATCAAAATCTGATTCCCTAGATTGTGTACTCTTAGTGCAGACTACTTATGTGCCAGCAGAAATAGACAAAAGGTTAGATAAATGGACACTACTTCTTCAATAGCTCTTCTTTAATGAGCTCACAACATAAACCTGCCTTCAATATTTAACGAGGCCGAGTCTAATTCGAGTGCACATGACTTTTGCGCAGTCTTTAATTTCACGTAGTCATAAGTGCGACAGTACACCTTTCCAAAATATTGTGATTTTAATATAAAATTAACATTATCTGAAATGCCTACTGGTCTGAAAATGTGATTTTACAACAATAATGGGGAAAAAACGCTGAAATGACTCGAGCCACGTCACTGTTTTCCGAATTTGTAAGCAATGCATTATGTTGAAGAATGGCATATGACTTGCTTATATGTTCGTAGACGTCCATGGATATTTTACTAAAAACTGATGACAGAACATCAAAAGAAACATAGCAGCAATCTAAATATTGCTATTTTTTACCAAAAAAAATTATCTGCACCTACAATTCATCTGCACCAATATGTGTTTATACCACAACATGGCAATTTTAGAGGTATTGGGCATCGAAAAAATAAACTTTGTAATTAAAACCCAGACCAATCTAGATGGTCAACTTTTTTGAATTTCACAGTTTGGTGACTTTTTACAATAACTTTCATCTACTTGACTGAAGAAGAAATCTCTAGGGCAGAAATACAAAAAATATGAAAAAATGGTGATAATTAGGCGCTTTTACAACAAATTCCCATAGGGTCCAATAAAACTTTTGAGATGACCCCTTTCGAATCGGGGTGGTAAGCATTCAATTTTTTAATCTTAAAACAATAAATATAACAGTAAAAATTAATTAACGAAATATTATCAAAATCCCTATGGTGAAAATAATTAGACTTGGCCTCGTTAAAACTTATTTTTCAGAATTTACATGTCTTATCCATTTTTAACACACTGTGTGGTGTTAGGCCATAACTGACCGTCAGTGTTTGGTTGACCCCCTCAGACGAGGTCGGTTCCTGGTTCAAGTCCTTGCTCCAGATCTTTGCTGTGTTGTCTATCTTCCCTTTCAAGGACACTGTGGCCTAAATTGATATCAATACCATTAACTGTTATATACAAATTGATATCAATACCATTAACTGTTATATACAATTCATCAAATTGATATCAATACCATTAACTGTTATATACAATTCATCAAATTGATATCAATACCATTAACTGTTATATACAATTCATCAAATTGATATCAATACCATTAACTGTTATATACAATTCATCAAATTGATATCAATACCATTAACTGTTACATACAATTCATCAAATTGATATCAATACCATTAACTGTTATATATAATTCATCAAATTGATATCAATACCATTAACTATTATACACAATTCATCAAATTCATTATAATTATTCTTTCAAATTTTAACTTTTCACACAATAAGGGGCATTATGACTATTCTTGACATCTAATACCGTACAAGTGGAAATTTTAGCGAGATGCAAATTTAGCAATTTGTCCTTAAAAATTGTTTTAAATTTTGATTGAGAAAAATTTTAGCTGGTTTTTAATGCTCATTTTTAAAAGCTATTACAAACAATACATAATTAATTGTTAGCGAGATTCAATTTAAAGATCTCAGCACCCCTGCTAATAATGCCAAAATTGAATCCTTGCTAAAAATTCTGCTCATACAGTAAATACCTGAATTTTTGTTACAAGTACCTTGCAGGGAATAACTGATACATTGTTAATTTTTTTTATGATCAGGAAATGTTTAATGACTACCTGTAGATCCTCAGGACCATTCTCTACGTAATTAAATACCAGGACCTTCACTTCAAACACTTCTCCCTGTATAATAGATGCTGGAGTGTCGATCACCAAAAAAAAGGACTTGAAGCTTTCAATCTACAATAAAAATATTTCTCGATATCTATTCAAAGTATGAGTGCATTTTCTTTTATGTATTTTCTTAAAACATATTCAAATTGTATCTATTTCAAAGTGGCCATTACATTAAAAATTGAAATTTTGACCAAACCTATAGCATTTTTTTTCTATATCATAAAAATCTTAATTTATACAAATGATTTTAATTTTTTGTTTTACCTGTGTGATGTCTGCTTTATACCTGATTCAGTGTTTTTACCTGTGGCACATATGGTTCATTACTTGAGTTCCTGTATTTATCTGCATGATATCTGCTTCATTATCTGAGCATTGGTTTTCACTGATTTGATATCTAATAGAAAACCTGAGTAAATGCATTTATCTGTGTGATATCTGCCTTATTACCTGAGTGACTGTATATATCTGTGTGATATCTGCCTTATTACCTGAGTGACTGTATTTATCTGTGTGATATCTGCCTTATTACCTGGGTGACTATATTTATCTGTGTGATATCTGTCTTATTACCTGAGTGACTATATTTATCTGTGTGATATCTGTCTTATTACCTGAGTGACTATATTTATCTGTGTGATATCTGTCTTATTACCTGATTGACTGTATATATCTGTGTGATATCTGCCTTATTACCTGAGTGACTGTATTTATCTGTGTGATATCTGCCTTATTACCTGAGTGACTATATTTATCTGTGTGATATCTGTCTTATTACCTGAGTGACTATATTTATCTGTGTGATATCTGTCTTATTACCTGAGTGACTATATTTATCTGTGTGATATCTGTCTTATTACCTGAGTGACTGTATATATCTGTGTGATATCTGTCTTATTATCTGAGTGACTATATTTATCTGTGTGATATCTGTCTTATTACCTGAGTGACTGTATTTATCTGTGTGATATCTGTCTTATTATCTGAGTGACTATATTTATCTGTGTGATATCTGTCTTATTACCTGAGTGACTGTATTTATCTGTGTGATATCTGTCTTATTATCTGAGTGACTGTATTTATCTGTGTGATATCTGTCTTATTACCTGGGTGACTGTATATATCTGTGTGATATCTGTCTTATTACCTGAGTGACTGTATTTATCTGTGTGATATCTGCCTTATTACCTGAGTGACTGTATATATCTGTGTGATATCTGTCTTATTACCTGGGTGACTGTATATATCTGTGTGATATCTGTCTTATTACCTGGGTGACTATATTTATCTGTGTGATATCTGTCTTATTACCTGAGTGACTGTATATATCTGTGTGATATCTGTCTTATTACCTGAGTGACTGTATTTATCTGTGTGATATCTGTCTTATTACCTGGGTGACTGTATATATCTGTGTGATATCTGCCTTATTACCTGAGTGACTGTATTTATCTGTGTGATATCTGCCTTATTACCTGAGTGACTATATTTATCTGTGTGATATCTGTCTTATTACCTGAGTGACTATATTTATCTGTGTAATATCTGTCTTATTACCTGAGTGACTATATTTATCTGTGTGATATCTGTCTTATTACCTGAGTGACTGTATATATCTGTGTGATATCTGTCTTATTATCTGAGTGACTATATTTATCTGTGTGATATCTGTCTTATTACCTGAGTGACTGTATTTATCTGTGTGATATCTGTCTTATTATCTGAGTGACTATATTTATCTGTGTGATATCTGTCTTATTACCTGAGTGACTGTATTTATCTGTGTGATATCTGTCTTATTATCTGAGTGACTGTATTTATCTGTGTGATATCTGTCTTATTACCTGGGTGACTGTATATATCTGTGTGATATCTGTCTTATTACCTGAGTGACTGTATTTATCTGTGTGATATCTGCCTTATTACCTGAGTGACTGTATATATCTGTGTGATATCTGTCTTATTACCTGGGTGACTGTATATATCTGTGTGATATCTGTCTTATTACCTGGGTGACTATATTTATCTGTGTGATATCTGCCTTATTACCTGAGTGACTGTATATATCTGTGTGATATCTGCCTTATTACCTGAGTGACTGTATTTATCTGTGTGATATCTGCCTTATTACCTGAGTGACTGTACATATCTGTGTGATATCTGCCTTATTACCTGAGTGACTGTATTTATCTGTGTGATATCTGCCTCTTTACCTGAGTGATTTTTTTTTACCTGTGTGATATCTACCTCTCTACCTGAGTGATTTCATTACCTTTGTGTTATCTGGTATATGTAAGCCAGTGGTGGGACTTACAACCAAAGCTCGTGTCACCCACGATGTTATGGAGTCTGGTAACATCTCCTGAACTTCAAACAGGGAATCAGAGCTGCAAATAAATCAGCTCACTTCGATTTCAGTCTCTCAAATGCAGATATCTTGAATACCATGGATATAGCAAAGTGATTTGGAAGTTCCAATCAATAAAAGTAATTTACCCTCAGTATCTCAAAATATTCTGATAAAATGATTTTTTTTTGTCCCAGTCAAGTTTGAAATAACAAGGTTTGATTGTATATACTCTTGACACCACAACAATCATTTAACACCATATGGCATTCTGGCACTTTGCATTCATATGTCATGAAGTATGTCAGACCCCCTTCAAAGAAAAACTCTTTATTCAAGAGTATATGTCGCCCGAGTGACGCAGTGGTTAGAACGTCTGCTCTAGAGTCGTAAAGTTAGGAGTTGATCCTTATGTCGTGGGTTTGAATCCCACTGAGGGATGTGGAGACCGGCCCTTAGGATGAGACCATGTAAACAGAGTCCTGTATAGCAGTTGGTACTGGCAAGAAAAAGATCCCTCCCTGCTCAATGGCCCTGAATGCCAAGTATAGGACAAAATTTGCAGTTCTCCACTGGCAAGTGGTGGCATCTCCATATGAGAAATATCTCAAGAGGGACTTTGAACAATATACAATCAATCAATCCAAGAGTATACCAAGGGTGAAGTAAGAATCAGATAGAGTTATCTTTTAGACAAAAATTCTACACAGGAGTAAAAATAAGTCTACTGCTGCATTCCCATTGTCTTTAAATCTACACATTAGATAAAAATAATATATGACATAAATCATATTATTACATAAATGAAAAAAAAAACTGACACAATTAATGACATAAATTGACCAGTGTTTCCGTTAACGCATATTTCTGCGTATTTTACGCATAAAAATTACTTTTTACCCCCAAAAACGTCATCTTAAGGGTCATCATGATGCAGAAAAAAAATATAAATTTTTTTTTTAAAAAACAGTTCAATATTGATGCCTTCAATAGAGGAAGATATTTAACATGTTCAATTTACATTCTGGACAACTTTTTAGGAATTAATCATTGCTTTTAGTTTAATTTCAAAGTGGCAGTGATTGAAACTGGCATTTTCACGTCAACAATCTATTAAATTCTTTTGTACGATCTATCTAATTCTTAACAAAACCGGAGGTGCAGATAAAAATGGCGCTTCAGCATGTTCAGTCTTACATCAGCATATTTATATCAGCTTGGCTTTGTCAAAAGGGCTAATAATGGTAATAAAAAGGTGAGGAAAGTTCAATTCATTAATAAAAATTTTTGTAAAGCAATCAACCACTTTCAATCGTTATCTTTTGATTGAGGTATTCACGAAACCCTAATGGCATAATCGGTAAAATGTGTCTGTGTACCGGTAAATAAAATAAGTATACATGTATCAATTATATTTTACTTACATTTTTTTTTATTTTTAAACATCAAATATATAATTTTAGGAGGCAGAGCTAATATAAGAATTGAAAGCAAAACCAGAATAAATTTTGACCCTCAAAAAATCTTTTTGACTCCCAAAAGTTTATATCAAAGGGTCATAATGACCCTTGGTTTTAAAATTTAGCAGAAACACTGTTGACCCACTTTTAAGTTCTTACATTACTGACATAAACTGACCTGCTTTTTATCTCTTACATTACTAACACAAACTGACCTGCTTTTTATCTCTTACATAACTGACATGAACTTAACTACTTTTCAGCTGAAAAATTACTGACATAAACTGACCTGATTTTCAGTTCTTACATTACTGACAAACTGACCCACTTTTTATCTCTTATATTACTGGCAAACTGACCCACTTTTTATTTCTTATATTACCGACATAAACTGACCTATATTTTATCTCTTACATTACTGACATAAACTGACCCGCTTTTCCCATCCATCCAGATCCAGGTCTCTGGAAAATTTTTCCGAACTTTAGTCTCGTCTTTTGAAAATGCAGTTACTGCGCCTGGAAGAGCTGGGGCATCGTCTTGTCTTTTATTATCTGGAGCAACTGCTCCCTCTGCGAACTCCTCAACTGAAATTAATCAGAAAAGATACTTTGTAAAAATATGACAGGTTTGTTAAGTTGGATTTCAGAAATAAGAAGAATTCTTAATTTTCTTTATACAGTCAAACCTCATTAAATCAAAGTCAATGGACGGAGAAAAATCTTTGAAATATCCCAGGATTCGATATATCAAGTATAAAATACTTAAAAGAATAGTGGTTTTGACTTTAAAATTAATTTGACATCTCCATGGTATTCAAGAACACAGACTTTAAGAAACTAATCAAAGCTCAACTGTAGACATTGTCAAGGATCAGAAAAAATAATTTGATTTCACAAGGATATAAATTCTATCTAACACTTTCAAAATCCTACTGACTTCCTGCTTAAATGAAGAAAATATTTCAAAAAAGAACCAACGCTTTCTTGAAGGAAAATATTCATATTGCGAATTTGCTATATATAGTTATACAAATTCGTTATATGGATATAACGAATTACGGAAATAGCAAATTAAATTCACAGGTCCCCAGGACTATGCTATAACCGAGTTTTACTGTATCCTCTGAAAATCAGAATGCCTTAACATCAACTTACAATCAATGAAGCTCTCCATTTCTTTGTGAATAGTGGCATCCGTGAGACACATCATGCCAGCCATCTTAAACAAAATATTACTTTGTATCATTCACACTTTATTAAAAATATCTTCTTAATGTAAAAATGTCCTTGATTTAATGAATGTTTTCTCATATCATTTTTATAGATTTATCAGCTAAATTCAAATAACCATGTAAGCAGACTTTTTAGTGAGGATTCAATTTTCGCAGTTTAGGAGAGACCTCTAAATATGAATATTGCTATCTCTCTGGACATTATCATGATTATAAACAAATATATTTATTCTAAGAAACTGTCATACTTTATAGATAAAGATAATACAGCTAAGCCATAATTAATTTGAATCAAATAATGATGTTTTGGTAAAATTTGAGATAATTGTTGGACAGTTAACATTTGTGTTGCCTGATTTGGCTTGTACTCACTGTAAGAATCTTAGCTGTGCTGTAGGATGGGTAGTAAGGATTAATTACAGTTCTCTTTTTCCTGTTCATGATCACAGGTCTATTAGGTCCATTTTCTGGATTACTTCCCATAGCATACATCTCTAAGCCTGTTAAAATCTGAAAAATCAACAAGTAATGCAATAGCCTTACAATAGTTTTCACATTTTCTCCCCACCTCGTAATGAATTATTTTTGCTGTGTACCGATACCTCTTTCTCTGTGATATCTATCGTCCCGAGAAGCTCCGATCCCTTGTCAATGGCCACCACTGCCACGTACGAGTTCTGTTCTGGTGTGGTCACTGTAAGAGTGACATCTGACCCCACCGTGGCCCGAGAAATCCCATACGACATCTTGGCCTGTGGTAATAAAAATTTTCAAGTAGAACATGGAGAATTAAATAGGAAATTTGAACTACATAATGATACTAGATCCTTAAATTACATAAGTTTGGCCAAAAAAAATTAATACATAGTTTCTCAGGCACCGCCGCATCAGTTCAAAAACAGATGCATTGATAAATTTTATTGACATATTGAAAAGGGAAATAACTCAATTTTCAGTTTTTCCAAGTTGAAAAAGGAAATCGAGTTATTCCCCTTTTAATAAATGCAAAGATAGACGTTTTGATTAGAAATACAATACATTTTTTCTAAATTTACAGTATTTTATGAATTAACTTTTAAATAAATGTTTGGAATAACATTATTTAAAGTTAAATACATATTTTAACAAGTTTCAGAAAACAAAAATTAAGAATTAGTAGATATTATCATTTTATTAAACAAATGGCTTAAAAAAAGTCAAGCCTACTTCAAAAAAAAAAAAAAAAAAAGCCTGCCTGCCGCATTGAATTTTGAATTTTTTGGCCTGAGAAACTATTCATTATTTTTTTTTGGCCTTTTCTTGTTTTTTTGCAACAATTAAAAGGTGAAAGTATACATTGGACGTAAATATATGCCTTTCTAAGGTCTTGTAAATTTCTCTGTTACCTTGGCATTTAAATTGAGGTTGACTTTGATTTTCTGCATTGCTGTAAGCAGGTAACCATTGGATACACCATATACCATTACTGTTGCCATGGGAGACATCCACCTGCTGACCGTCACAGGAAGTATTGCTGATGTAGTCTGTCCAAAGTCAACTGTACCACTGGTCACAGACATGCCTTTACTGAAAACCTACAATCATAAACAATACCCTGGTGACAGACATGTCTTAACTGAACCTACCTGGTATATACGGAGATATCCTAACTAGTATTTACTGGAATACCCTACCTAGTATATACTGGGATATCCTACCTGGTATATACTGGTATATCCTACCTGGTATACACTGGGATACCCTACCTGGTATATCCTACCTGGTATATACTGGGATACCCTACCTGGTATATCCTACCTGGTATATACTGGGATACCCTACCTGGTATATCCCACCTGGTATATACTGGGATACCCTACCTGGTATATCCCACCTGGTATATACTGGGATACCCTACCTGGTATATCCTACCTGGTATATACTGGGATACCCTACCTAATATACCCTACCTGGTATATACTGGGATACCCTACCTAGAATACCCTACCTGGTATTTACTGGGATACCCTACCTGGTATATCCTACCTGGTATTTACTGGGATACCCTACCTGGTATATCCTACCTGGTATATACTGGGATACCCTACCTGGTATATACTGGGATACCCTACCTGGTATATGCTGGGATACCCTACCTGGTATATACTGGGATACCCTACCTGGTACACCCTACCTGGTATATATGCTGGGATACCCTACCTGGTATATACTGGGATACCCTACCTAATATACCCTACCTGGTATATACTGGGATACCCTACCTGGTATACCCTACCTGGTATATACTGGGATACCCTACCTGGTATATACTGGGATACCCTACCTGGTATATACTGGGATACCCTACCTGGTATACCCTACCTGGTATATACTGGGATACCCTACCTGGTATACCCTACCTGGTATATACTGGGATACCCTACCTGATATATACTGGGATACCCTACCTAATATACCCTACCTGGTATATACTGGGATACCCTACCTAGAATACCCTACCTGGTATTTACTGGAATACCCTACCTGGTATATACTGGGATACCCTACCTGATAGAAAACTGTTAGATCCAGAGAAGACTGGTCAGACTTGTGCACCTTAAACTTGGCAACATCTCCAACATTCAACTGAAAGAAAGGAAAGAATACTAATTAAACCAATTTTTTTTAGGAATAGTAATCATTGATCATAATAACCTGCAATTTTCTCTCAAATTTACAAGTATATAAATGGAGACAGTTGTTTTCAGGATGAATAACCTATTTGAATTCATTCAAACAAGAGGCCCATGGGCCACATCGCTCACCTGAGTAACTTGGGTGATGCAGATCTTTTTTAAAGATTTGTTCTATATATATTTCTATGTAAAACTTGGATTCCCTATTGTGGCCCGCCCTACCCCCGGGGGTCATGATTTTAACAATTTAATATCTACACTACCCAATGATGCTCCCACATAAGTTTCAGCTTTCCTGGTCAAGTGGTTCTTGAGAAGAAGATTTTTAAAGATTTGTTCTATATATTTCTATGTAAAACTTGGATTCCCTATTGTGGCCCCGCCCTACCCTCAGGGGTCATGATTTTAACAATTTTAAATCTACACTACCCAAGGATGCTTCCACATAAGTTTCAGCTTTCCTGGCCAAGTGGTTCTTGAGAAGAAGATTTTTAAAGATTTGTTCTATATATTTTATGTAAAACTTGGATTCCCTATTGTGGCCCCGCCCTACCCTCGGGGGGTCATGATTTTAACAATTTAATATCTACACTACCCAAGGATGCTTCCATATAAGTTTCAGCTTTCCTGGCCAAGTGGTTCTTGAGAAGAAGATTTTTAAAGATTTGTTCTATATATTTCTATGTAAAACTTGGATTCCCAATTGTGGCCCCGCCCTTCCCCAGGGGGTCATGATTTTAACAATTTAATATCTGCACTACCCAAAGATGCTCCCACATAAGTTTCAGCTTTCCTGGCCAAGTGGTTCTTGAGAAGAAGATTTTTAAAGATTTGTTCTATATATTTCTATGTAAAACTTGGATTCCCTATTGTGGCCCCGCCCTACCCTCAGGGGTCATGATTTTAACAATTTAATATCTACACTACCCAAGGATGCTCCCACATATGTTTCAGCTTTTCTGGCCAAGTGGTTCTTGAGAAGAAGATTTTTAAAGATTTGTTCTATATATTACTATGTAAAACTTGGATTCCCTATTGTGGCCCCGCCCTACCCCCGGGGGGCATGATTTTAACAATTTAATATTTACACTACCCCAGGATGCTTTCCTATAAGTTTCAGCTTTTCTGGCCCAGTGGTTCTTGAGAAGAAGATTTTTTAATGACCCCACCCTATTTTCGTATTTTCTTGATTATCTCCCCTTGGAAGTGGTCTTGGCCCTTGATTTTAACAATTTAAATTCCCCTTCACCCAAGGATGCTCTGTACCAAGTTTGGTTAAAATTGGCCCAGTGGTTCTTGAGAAGAAGTTGAAAATGTGAAAAGTTTACAGACGGACGGACGGACAGACAGACGGACGGACGGACGGACGGACGACGGACACCGGGTGATCAGAAAAGCTCACTTGAGCTTTCAGCTCAGGTGAGCTAAAAAGGTGTAGAGGTAAATTTCTGTTTAATGGGCCCGTTGGTATATATGATCCCCCTGTAGTTCTTTATGTCAAAACAGGAAGCATGTGTAGCATGTTTACAGCTCCACTCTGAGTTCATTCACAGGGGATCAAAGCCAAACAATGGCGCTGTGGAAAATTAGATTCTGAGACTGACCTCTACATTGTCATTTTAATTTACTCATGTCTGCACATGATATTGTTCGACCATTTCATGAAGAATGTCTTCAGTACCATACAATGTCTAATACAGATAGATCTTCATCCTTGTCACAGACCACTTTATAAAATTCTAGTTCAGCTGTTTTCCTTTTGTATGTCAACTTTTGTATGTCAAAAATATCATGGTATACAAAGATTTTACTATGTTAAAACAACTCTTGACACAATTCTGTAATTTGCTATACATGGCTTAATATGGTAGTGACAAGTGCTGATCCATCTTGTCTTGAGAATGACATAAAATGACGCTTCTTTGTCAAAGAAATATAGCTCAGTTTCCAAGTATTCTTAATCATAAAATATTGTTGAAATTGTTTCTATCTCATTTTCAGGAATGTGTGAAAGAAACTACATGCTAAAAGTGAGTTTTTTTTAAAATGAACATGAACATAAAAATTTGTGCATGAAATGTAGGTGATTTCTGAAGCCATAGACTTTTGGTTTATGACTGAATTTAATTAAAAGTGCAGGAAATCGGTACTGAGTAGACAACAAAAAAGGGTTAGAACTCATTGTGGCAATTATCATTTTTATTAAGTATGAATTCAAGTTTGTTCAAGTCATCAAGTAAAACCTGCCAGTCAACTTCATTAGAAACAAGACAATGCATTGTCGAATTGAGATGCGAGTCAAATCTCCCGAGCCCCCGTTTTAATAACAATGATACTCTATTGACAAAAAATCTGTTTAAAGAACAAAAATCAGGATCTAAACTATTTGTAATATAACAAGTTAGTTTCTGATTCATCTCCATCAGTGACCATTCCTAAATGCAACATCCAATCAAGACTGTCCAAGGGAATGGAGTAGCCAGCTCATAAAGTTTTAACAGGGATTAATACTATATGTAATACCAATGCAAGTGGTGGCTATATAGAAAGAATAGAGTAAAAGCTCTTTGTCCTTGGCAAGGTGTGCTAAAAAAGTAATCATAAGGGAGCATAATTGTCCCATAAAACCTATATAGAAGGATTTCAGCCTTTCATTTCCATCACAAAATCATTGTCTTCATGTATTTGATAGTTCCTCTGCACATAAATAGTACTTATTTCAGGAACTTACTGCCCGTTAGTTTGCAGATGCCTGGAAATGAGACCAACCAAAGGGCCATCATCAAGCCCTCTTGTCTTGTGGTCAAATATGTGGGTGTCTGATGATGTGTAGTTTCACTTTTATTTACAGACAAAAGGTTAAGATTTTTCTTCTGTTTATATATATATATACATCATACAAGAAAATACAAATGACTGAATAGTTACATGGTTATATTTTGTCTATGCAATGCATTTACAGAGGGGGAAATAACACTTCTAAATAAAATTTGATTGTTAAAATGTACAAATCAAATCTCTAATTTTATTTTTTAAAAATTCAACAACTCTGAAACTGCTAATGTGCTAACAGTATCTTACTAATGGCTGTCTGAAATCGCAAAATGAGCTTTTTACTATTAGCAGCGCTAAGCCACTAAACCAGGTAGTACTAAGATTTTACTTCATGCAGTTCTAATGAAAGCTTAACATCCATAGTAATATTTAGTTTTTATCCACTAGACATTTTTGCCATTAATCTGTCTAACTACTGCCAAAGGTTCTAATAAATAGCAGCTTTTTCCTTCATTCAGACCAGCTGAAAAAAACTCAAGTCACTTGAGGTCAGTAGAAAAGTGGGCACTCTTTTCCCCCCAGCTAAATGCTTGCCATAAAGAATCATTATTTCAAAAGACCTGATAGCAATAATACATGAACATACAATGCCATTAGATCAGGAATACCATTAATATAATGTTAGAGTAGTTATTATACATCAGGGGACCCTCGACTTTGTAAGGCTTGTTTTGTCACCAGATGGCACAGTTTGGTTAAGATCCATCATAAACTACTACTCATGCAGACCCTAGACTCAGGCACAAATGAAGCCTCTGCCTGCTGAACAATCTCTTGACTGGATATTCACCTTTAGCATCATGATGAGGCTAAAATAAAAAATCTTGAGTTTGTCTCCTCAAATGATACATCAAATTTTATTCAACTTTTTCAACCAAAAAATTTTGTCAAAAAGGTTACATAGGCCTGATTTTGGCTACTCCTGGATAGGTAGCACATCACTGTACTACTATGTGATGAACAGAGACCTTCAATTAAAAAAAAAAACTCATAAAGTTAAAAAATAAAATATATTGGCATATCTTTTTGGTCACCATCTTCAGTTACTGTGACCTTAAGTTTAATATAGCTCAGTGACCATACTGATAAATGACACACACATCATTCAAGATCTTTTTTTTCATGTAAATTACTATGAATGTGGATTCAATTTTATTCTAGTATCTAAGTAAATTCATGCTCTCACTTATACATGTATCAATTTGTATCAATTGGCTCTATGTAACAGGAACTTCATGGGATCAAGCTATGTTTTTTGAATGCCAAACATATGAAGTATACAAATAACTTGTATCTTGATGAAAGAGATCTTTCTGAGAAGATCTGTTTTCTTAACAGACAAATAGCCACTATGAGAGGACATTAATCAGACATCTTACCAACTTAGATACTGTAAAATAAGCAAACAGCATCTTCTACAAACAAAGAGGATGGGTTAAATTCACCATTGATGCTAATGAAGGACAGTGATTCCTTCAATTCTTACACATAACAAGCCAGTTGTAGCACTTGTATCACTTAAGGTGGAACAAAAATATTTTCACAATTTAGAATAAGAGATTATTTTTGAATTTAAGATTTCTATTCTTTACAGAACTCATCTCTCTGAGAAACAGAAATCAGGGTCAACTGATTTTGTCTTTCTGAGGTTTTGACATCAGGGTCACATGATTTTGTCTTTCTGAAGTTCTGACATCAGGGTCACATGATTTTGTCTTTCTGAGGTTTTGACATCAGAATCACATGATTTCGTCTTTCTGAGGTTCTGACATCAGGGTCACATGACTTTGTCTTTCTGAGGTTCTGACATCAGAATCACATGATTTTGTCTCTCTGAGGTTCTGACATGTGACATTAAAGTCACATGATTTTGTCTCTCTGAGGTTTTGACATCAGATACACATGATTTTGTCTCTCTGAGGTTCTGACATCAGGGTCACATGATTTTGTTTTGAGGTTCTGACATCAGGGTCACATGATTTTGTCTCTCTGAGGTTCTGACATCAGGGTCACATGATTTTGTCTTTCTGAGGTTATGACATCAGGGTTACATGATTTTGTCTCTCTGAGGTTATGACATCAGAGTCACATGATTTTGTCTTTCTGAGGTTCTGA